TGTAAGAGCGATTAGCAAGATGGATTCAATTCACCAACCAAGATATACAAGACAGTAATAATGTGTACTGGAGGAGAATGTAACCAGTAAAAGTCATACAAGAAGCTTCTAAAGTACTAGGTATCACCAATTTTTTAATGTGGGAGATAAACAGGTAAAAATATTTTCCATTAAACTATACTTGTTTCACATATTTTTTATATCAGTATTTAAAATCTTAAAATTAAGAAAATGGTGTTTCAGGGAACAAATACAAAGTAGCTCACAGAATCATCAGGGGACTGGATAACCAGCCTCACTGATCTACCTGACAAGAAAATCTGAAAATATAACCTCAAATGGGTTGTGTTTGGTTGAGGTAACTGTCTCACATCCTAGTGAGTTTCACACTGCACTTTGTAGTAGCACCTATAAGGAAATAAAACTCTGCAGGTCCTGATTTTTCACATCTTTGCCCTTGAATCCAAATCTCAATATCAATGTAGTCCAAGTCATTTACTTATGACTTAACTGCATAGGAGTACCCGACTCATTACTTTTTTCTTTTTGCGTAAGACTCACTCAGTGGAGAATACAACTAAAAGAAGAATGAGGTGTAGACCCTGGGTATTAAAAAATAATAAATTTTAAAAAAGAAAGAATAAATTTTCCACATGATAAAGATGGTTAATGTGACTATGAATATATAAAGTGGTATTATTATGGTATGCAAGGGCTCTGGGTAGCACAAATGGCCTGTCCTTAGCAACCAACCCCAAAATTGTTAGTCTGAACCGAGCTTGCAGCACTGCAAAAGAAAGATCTAATGATCTGCTTCCAAAGATTACTGCTGGATTCTGTCGGGTCTACTTTTACTTATAGTGATCCCATGTCTCAGACCAAAGCTGTCTCATAAAAGTTTTCTAGGTTATATTTATGGGAACAGATTGTCAAGTCTTTCTCTTGAAGAGCCACTCAAGAGTCATTCGAACTACCAATGTTTTGGTTGGTAGGCAGGTGTTTAACCATGTACTACCAGCCAAGAAAACCTTATAAAGCAGTTCTACTCCATAATATATGGGGATGTAAGGAAGTAAGTTTGTGGAAATTTTTGTTTATTAGGCTAAGGAGAACAATACTTATTAGGCTTTTGCTACATTTTCTCTCAATAAAGTTATACCATTTGGCACTTGCTTCTTCACATATACTTTGGGCATGCTGTTAGGAGGAGCTATTCCTTTGAAAGAGGTATGAGACCTGGAAAGGTAGAGGGTCAGCAGGAGAGATGAAGACCCTTAAGAAAATGTACTGACACAGCAACTACAGCAACAGGCTCAAGTACATCAGACACGATGAGGATGTTACAGGATAGGACAGAGTTTCAGGTCTCTTGATCATAGGGTTGTTCAACTCAACAGTGCAATAGTATTTGAATAATTTCATTCCCCATACTCTTCTCTGAAATTCTTTGTGATCTGTGCAAATTTGAGTAAAAAAATTATTGCTGTTTCAAACACGGTTTATATGATTCATACTTGTATTTCTTTTGTAAATTGTGCCTACATATTCTTTCCCAATGGGAATACGAGTAGTCCTCAACTGATATGAACTACAAGTCTTTTTTTTTCTATCTTACCATTAGTAAAATGTAGTACTTACAATGTTATAACACATAATTTGCTGATGTTAGAATTCTTAGATGTTCACTTGCATTCATTAAACACTATGATTTATAAAGATACTGAGAATAAAAAGCAGAGGATAAAATTTTCAAAACTGAAATCTTTTATCTAGTCAGAAGTGACTTACAATGCAGTCATCAAAATAGAATCCTATTATAAATTGAGGACTATGCATATTAATTTTAATTTTTAATAGGGCCTAGATAATCTATGTTGCACGTTCATTTTTCCTTGTCTTTTGCCTTTTTCATATTATGTAGTTTTTAAAAACCATTGTTTTATTTTTTAAAATACGATTTGCTAGTATTTTCTTTTACAATGTTTCCCAACTTTTTGCAACAGTCACTTCTATTTTTTTCTGGTCGCACAGCTTAATTTTTCTATAAGTCAACTCTTTGATCCTAAGGGTTTAATATCATTTGCCTCCAACCACGCCTGGCTTTTGGTCTATAATTTCTCTTTGATGCCATTGTGCTATCTCTACTTATAACAGGACCATTGATATAATTATTATAGTATTATATGTTTTGTTATCCTTTTTTAACTTTTATCCTTGTTACTTTTCCAATCTTATTATTTCCTATCATTTTCTAAATTAATTCTTTTTCTGTTTAAGTCTCTATTCATAATAGACATATACACATAGCTGTAGTATGCAGATATTTTTATCATGAAAAGTTGAGAGCAAAATGTATCAATATGAAGTGTATTACAGAAATATAGCTGTTAATATGATAAAAGTCATGAATGAAAAGCATACAATTATAAAACATGCCAAGATACCACTTTCCTCCCAAACTAGGAAAACTCTTAGCTTATTAATGTTCCTAGTAGCAGCACTAAATTTTTTTATGGATTTTAGGGACAAAGAAAGTACATATAAGAGGTAAGAGTTAAAGAATATTCTGGTTCCAATTGGAATATACCACTTGCTTTTTAGCATTGCCTCTATTACCTCTAGAGATAGGACTGTTTTCAGAGATAGTGACCTGTAGAATATATTTGATAATAAAGCATTAATTGAGACAATAAAGCAGTAAGTAAATATGGGCCATCTGGGTTTTGGATTTGTCAATTACAGCATATTGTTTGTGTTAAGGAGCAGGAAAATCATGCATGAACTCTACTTTCTGGGATTATCTGAATATTATTCTTAACTACAGTAATACCTCCAGATTCCATGGCCTTTTAGTTATCTTCTAGTCAGAAGGATCTGAATAAGACAATCACTGGAAGAATTCTACTTTTCCTCATACCATGTCTTCTTTTTTGTTTCTTACTCTCCCCTTCCTTCCACTTACACTTTAGGCATTACTTAACTGTTCGTGATTCCTGGAATTTGAAAGGTAGCAGACTCAGAACCCGGAGTACAAACAATTAACATGCTTGGTTGGTAACCGAAAGGATGACTATTCATATTCATCCAGAGGAATCTCAGAGGAATGGCCTGACAATCTACTTCTGTAACAGCAGCTTTGAAAACTTTATGGAGCACAAAGTTCTACTGACACACACATTTATCATAAATCAGAATAAGCTGTATCACAACTGGTCAGATCCAAGATTTAAATCTGTGCTGAACTTTTCTGGGTTGCTCTTACAATACTATCATTCATTTTAAAAAAAAAACCCCAAAATGGCAACAAACTAATGGGGGGGGGGGAATACTTCTATTCATTGGCTGCCAATTAAGGAACTGGAATCTTTTCAATGACACATTTTGAAAATGGAAATGAGATATTAAAAAATTTAGAAATTTCATGTATGGACCTGAAAGAAATTATACTATGTCCCAAGAAATTAGATATTACAGATTATTAAGTGAAGGGGTTTTTTCTTCACTTAATTTTGAAAGTATTAAGAATTAATACAACAGATGTAGTTTGACACCTTTGTATCTTTAAGTAGCAAACCTCAAATGCAATCAAAATACTTCTGCATATAAACACCATTTTGTCTAGGCTACTTTTATTTTTCAAGAACAAATGAATGGTCAAAATAGTAAGCAATAAGAAAGTGTAATCTAATACATTTTAGTGTATCACGGGGGGGGGGAATCCTACATACTTTAATTGTAATCTACTGTCTTTGCAATTAAATGATCATTAAAGTTATTTACTCTCAAGAAAGTTGTTTACTTTCATTAACTCAGTGTCCTTATTTGTAAAAGTGGGGTAATACCTGCTTTACAGGGTTACTATAAGGATTATACATCGTTAATTATATGGGATCCTAACATAGAGAAGATACAGTCTTCTCGTTGCTGGGGAGTCAGGACCTATTCTTAAGAACCTTCCACTGGATTTTCGAGGCCAGGCTATATAAAATGCCTGGCGTATCTTTCTCCAACCGAGATGACGGTGGATTCGAACAGCAGGAGAGATGTGGCCTCTGGGTTAGCAGCGCAATTCTCAAAGAGCTATGCCACCAGAGCTCCTTAAAAGATACATAGAAGACAGTGAAAGCTAAGTTCTAATTTTCTCATACCTATACTACACTTAATTAAAAAATAAGCAAACATGCCAAAGACAAAAACCAAAAACCCAACTTGGATTTGAAAATTATTTAACACAGCCAATGTGTACTTTATTTCAGTGAGTGATTCAATCACCTTACACGTCTGTATTACAACGGTGCCGAGGTAGCTAGAAGATCTAAATTCTCTACTTCCAGTAGAACTTTCAATTGTCTCCCTCCAACCTCCCTCCATCTGTAAACTACGGGAGTTGGCAAAGATTTCTGAACTAGCTTCCTACTTTAGAATTCTGTGATTTTAAACCAACACACACACACACACACGCACATGCATTCAAACCTCCACTGGAAGAAGACTTTTTTAGCATAAGACTCGTTAGCGTGTCTGTATACTTGCTTTGTGACTTAAAGGGGGGGGGGCGCGGGGGAATAATCATTACCCATTAGTAAAAAGAACGTCCCTAAACACTGCTTTGAAATGCTTAAATGCTGTAGTGACTTTTAATCTTTTATTTCAAACAACGCCGTGGGCAATAGTAAAATAATGAAGCACGGTATGCCTGGTGCTCTTGGGTTGGCCTCAGTATTTAATAACCGCGCAATAACTGACTTCGCATTGGGTCAAGTGGGAGATACGTGACAGGGTTTGAGGAGGAAAGCCTGGGAACCTGGTTTTGTAGGTTTACTACTGTAAGTAAGGGGAGACCACGCCGTACTCTACCGAGTATGACTGGAGAATGCCGGCAACAGCCGGCGTGACACCGGAGCAAACCCGCACAGCGAGCCGGCCCGGGGCCCTGCGGGCGGGTGTGGGCGGGCGCTGGGCGGCCGCTCCCACCGAGGGGCCGCGCCTCTTCCCCTTACCACATAGCCCCCCCACACGTAGAGGAAGTTTCCGTCCACCACCGCGCAGTGGCCGCTGCGCTCCTCGGCCACGGAGAACAGCTGCGAGTCGGCCATCCGTGCCGTCGCTGCCTCAGGCTCTGGCCGCGCCGTGGCCCCTTCCCACCGAGCGCCTCGCCTGCGCTGCCGACTCCACGCACGAACGGAACGCATCGAGGGTCTAGATTGGTGGGAAGGCGGAAACGGAGTTTGTGCGCCACCCCGCTGCCTGCCCGGGAACCTGAGCCACCAGCCGGGATGCCAACCGAGGAATGCCTTGTTCGTAGGACTAAGGAAGGTGCCTCGGCTTCTCCATAGTCCTGCTACTCCGCGTTTCTTCTCACTTGGAATTGTGTTGTGTTGGACATTACAACTCTATCTTACTCATGGGATAGCCAGCCTTCTGATCGATCTCTTGGGTTCGTGCTACAACTGTGACATAAGTTAATGTTGATGGGTCGTTTGCCTTTTCCATTTTAACCTTGGCGAGGTAATTATCTGTAACGGTTATTTGTGTGTATGTACTTTAAAATTAGAAATTCTGGCCGACCGCCATTTATTTTTATTTATTTATTTATTTATTCATTCATTCATTCATTCATTCATTTATTTTAAGACTTGAGGAAAACCAAAATGATACAATTCTATGCATTTAAAACGTGATAAAAATTTTACTGGAACTCAGCCAGAGAGAATTTCAATCTTGTCTATGACTGTTTTCACATTAGCACAAGTTGCCTAGTTGAGTAGTTGCAACCGTGTAGTCAACCTGTTGAAAATACTGTCTCTCTGGCCCTGTTCAGAAAGAGTTTACACACTGTTGTTCTAAACCAACGTTACTGAGGTCAAATTGTGTCCGCCTTCTTAGATACTCACTGCCAACCACTCAGAACAAGTTGATTCATGATTCCCCCCCCCCACATTATTACCTGTTTATGTACTTCAGCAAAGTATGTTTTTTAAAAAATGCTGTGGAGTCAATCCTGATTCATACATAGTATGAATTATGCTTATATTTTAAACTTATACTGTGTATACTTGGTTCCACAGTCAACACTCTTGGTAACAGCAGCCAGGAAATCAAGAGACAATTGAGAAAGTCAGCTGTGAGGAACTCTCAAGAGTACTGAAGAGCAACGACGTCAGGCTGGAGACTAAGGTGTGCCTGATCCAGGTTATAGTTGTCGCAGTTACACGCTATGCATCGGAGAGTTGGACAGTGAATAGGGATGAAAGAGAATTGATGCCCTTGAGGTGTGGTGCTGGAGAAGAATGTTGAAAATACCATGGACTGCTAGGGGAACAAACAGGTTTGTCTGAAGAGGGTGAAGCCGAAATGCCTCTTGGAGTCAAGGATTCTGAAGCTTCGTCTGATATACTTTGGGCATGTTGCAAGGGGGGACCAGTCCTTGGAGAGGGACATCATGTTTGGGAGAATGGAGGGACCGCACAGGAGAGGAAGACCCTCGATGAGATGGATTGATTCTGTGATTAGAGTGGTGGGAATGAGTGTGTTTGAGACAGCGAGGTTGACATAGGATAGAATGGCATTTAGGGCTCTTGTACATAGGGTCGCTATGAGTTGCAAGTGATTCAATGGTACATAACAACAATGTCTAAGACTTTATGCATAGTATATACTATATAAATATATAAATGCTGTCTATTGACTGGGAGACTAAAGTTAATTTAAAGATAATTTTAAGATAGATCCCTCACTGCCCATTGAGTTGAGTTCCAACTCATAGCAAGTCTTCATTAGGTTTCCAGTGCTATAAATTTCAATTGCCCAAGAAAGATAGGTGGATTTAAAATACTTGAGTCGCACAGTCTTTTGGTAAAACAGTGGGAGATGGTGTGGTTAAGACATAATTCTACTACAAGGGCTCAAAGTCCAGTCAGAAAGAAAGATAAAAGAAGTGCTGTGTGGAGAGTTAAGTTGTGCAATGGAAGCACTGACAAAACACAGCAGAGAAACAGGAAAGATATTATATATAGAAAAGGGAGTATGCAAAGAAGAGTTTCTTATAAATTGACTATAAAATGCAGTCTGTAGGGTTATATGTCATGACAATGCAGAAGAATTTAACCTACTATTTTTCACCTTTTATATCATTATCCCCAAACCCTCCACTTTCCCACCCATTCCCCTCTCATTGCCATCAGGTCAGAACTGAGTCATAGCTTTTCCTCCAGTGGGCTCTCAGAGACTATAAATGTCATGAGAAGAAACTGCCCATCTTTGTTCCACCAAGCAGCTGGTGGTTTTGAACTGCTTTATTTTGTATTGGTAACCTGTGGGAAACCTTTAATAAAGACACATCGAAAGCTTCATATAGCACTGGAAAATTATTAAGTAAAAGATGTAAGGAAATAGCCAGATGTACCCACAAGAGGAACTGTTTGCTGTTTCAGTACAAAAACAGGCTTGACCATTCCTTGAACCCTAGGGCTAAATGAGGGTATGAAAAACAAAATGTATTGTCAGCCTTGAGGCTGGGTTGTTTTTCTGTTCCCTGTAGAAGGAAGATAAAAGGACAGAAGAGAATAAACTTGGGGCTGCACTATTCACTCTATGCCCTCCCGACTCTCTTGTCTGTCATTTTTTCCTAATCCTCGCTCCCCCCTTGAGGGACTGTTCAACTGGTGACGGCAAGCTCCGTCAGCAATCCAACTCTCTACAAAGTAAGCCATGAGAACTCCCTCCTTCATACCCAAAGGTAGCTATTTCTATTATTTTCTTGCTTGTTTTTCTGGTAGTTAAGTAAATATGTATATGCATTTCTTGATTACAACTTTTAGCAGTGAATGTGATATTCATTACTGTTTCCCAACACTACAATTCAAGGGCATCAGTTCTCCAGCTTTCCTCACTCATTGCCTAGCTTTCACATGCATAAGAAGCATGTCAAATATTGTGGATGGGTCAGCCACACTTTAGTCTTTGAACTGACACCCTTGCTCTTTAGCAGTTTAAAAAGGACCTTCACAACAGATTTATTCAGGGCAACACAATAAAATGAAATTATTGACAACTTCAAACTTTTCTCCCTTCTATTATGATGTTTCCTGTTGGTCTAGTTGTAAGGATTTTTTTTCTTGATGATGAGATATAATCTATATTGAAAGCTGTAGGGTTTTT